CATGAGATACAAAAAAAAAAAGATAATATTGATGTTAATATAAATAACTTGAAACAATTATTTATTATTATGTAATTTATATTTACTGTGAATTATTATTACTTGGTATTAGCAATAACTATTATATAATATAATAGAAAAATCCATGATTACACTTAATAGGATGTATTAATGTGAGAAATAAAAAATATTAATAATAAATTTTGTAACCGAAAATAGATGGTAAATTAAGGTTTTACTAAATAGGTAAAATTAAATGCTAAGCTAGCAATTATATATGTTATTATTATTATTATTATTATTATTATTATTATTATTATTATTATTATTATTATTATTATTATTAAAAAATAGTTTTTTTATAAGATTCTAAATTGTTTGACTATTCTATTAAAACAATTTACTAATTGTTTTTAAAAAATTTTTTGCATGAGATACAAAAGAAAAAAAATAATATTGATGTTAAAATAAATAACTTGAAACAATTATTTATAAATATGTAATTTATATTTATTGTGAATTATTACTAGTTAATATTAGCAATAACTATTATATAATATAATAGAAACATACATGATTACACTCAATAGGATGTATTAATGTGAGATAAAAATTTTGTAACCGAAAATGGGGGGAAAATTTTACAGGTTTTATTAAATGCTATATGTCAACAATTATATATATATATATCTATATATATATATAGATTTGTCTAACTTATAACATATATATTAAACATAAATATATTAATTGAGAAATAATTTTATTTTTCTAATTGATTTTAATAAATATATTTATTATACATATTAATATAATTTATTTATTTTATATATATACAATATAGATGTCAAATCGAAACTCATCAAAAGATGATTAATTTGATATATTATATATGTAAAACTTATATGAAATACAAAAGTTATCAACTTTTAAAATACATTTACAATTCAATAGTTATAATAGGAAATGATATTAAAATGCAATTAATACATCTAAAATGATCATAAATAAATCAACATATATAAGGTAATCAGAACTTAATTATTTTTAGATTCGAATTAAATTAAAATTTATCCAACTCAAAAAATAAAACATGTAATTTTGACACAAATAATACCGAAGCATGCGAGTCTTACACTTAAACTCATCAGATTCGAAAATTATATACAATTCAACAATTTTAAGCTTGTTTCATTTACCAAACAACCTGAGCCAAACTTTAGCATTAATAATAATAAATGAACCGGAGAATTGAGATGGGCTGAACTCACAAGCCCAAGGTTTGAGATTCATTGTTTACCTTTTTGCGGGATCGGGAGATGATAACGCAACAAGCGGTGACCGTGAGTTAATTTAGGGATTATTGGAGCACGTGTCCTCTGGAAATGGATATGTCTTTCATTGTCACACTGTCGGGAGGTGGAACATCCTTGTATCGAGAGTAGTAGTTATCCCCTGCGGCGCGGCCTTTGCGTTTGACTCGCCAAGAATAAATGTCAAAATTGCCCTCATATGAGAGGAGCCTAGAGAGACGATCATCGCATGAAAATCCAAAATTGGCAGAAATATAGAGTATACAGAAGAGTAGACCTAAGGTGCACCGTCCGTAGCTGATTCCTATCCCTCGACCAAAAACACTTTTTCTTGTTCACCAACGATTTCACACAGCTGTGCAAAACTAGAAGACTCCGAAAGAGGTCAAGAGCAAAAATACACAATCAATAAATTTCACAAATTGATCATCAAATCCCTAAATTCACCTCCCAGTTGATCGAAAACCTCGAAAGCCCAATCCTTTCCCACTCTGTATGGCATCGCCGGGCAAACCTCGCGGCAAAGGCGACCTCTCACCGGCGGCGAACGCCGTCCTCCACCAGCCGGCATCACCTCGGTTCCATCCCGGAACTCCCACCTCTGGAGCCCACCGCAAGATCGCCATCGCCGTCGACCTCAGCGACGAGAGCGCCTTCGCGGTCAAGTGGGCTGTCCAGAACTACCTCCGCCCCGGGGACGCCGTGATCCTCCTCCACGTCCGCCCCACCTCCGTCCTGTACGGCGCCGACTGGGGCGCTATCGACCTCACCGTTGAGGGCGCCGGCGACGAGAGGTCGCAGCAGAAGCTGGAGGACGATTTCGACAACTTCACCACCAGCAAGGCCAACGACCTGGCCCAGCCCCTTGTAGAAACGAATATCCCTTTCAAGATCCACATCGTGAAGGACCACGACATGAAGGAGAGGCTGTGCCTGGAGGTTGAGAGGCTGGGGCTGAGTGCGGTGATCATGGGGAGCAGGGGATTCGGGGCCTCCAGGAGAAGCAGCAAAGGGAGGCTGGGGAGCGTGAGCGACTACTGCGTGCGCCACTGTGTGTGCCCTGTGGTGGTGGTGAGGTTCCAGGATGAGAGTGATGGAGGGTCTGATGAATGCGAGCCAGGATCGGCAAAGGCGGGTTATAAGGATGCATCTGGGCTGCATCCGGTACCTGAGGAGGAGGAGCCAGTATATCTTGATGCATCCGACAAGAATCCAGGTATGGTGTAACTGCGTATGTGTGCTTTGGAATAGGTTGACCTTTTTTTTCTTTTATATTTTTGGGATTTAGGTGATTTGTGGTTAATTGTTTGGGTGGCATCATGTTTGGATGTTTTGTTTTGTGATATTGTTTGGAGAAGAAAAGGTAATGAAAGGTTAAAGATTGGATTTTTATGGTATGGTTTGTAAATTATGAGTTGTTATAGGCTAATAGGAGTTAAACTTGAGATTTTCTAGCGAGGTTAGGAGTTTTCATCGAAATCTAGACGAAGTAGCTATGGCATTTCGCTCTACCTCCTGCTGAAGTTGAAAGTGTGGTGTGTCCGAGTAGAACTAACTAATTAAAGAATGTCCTTGTAACATGATGATTGAAAATCCGACGTTAATTAGTGAGAGTGTGGAGCTATTGACCTGCACAGGGTGCAAGTAATGCTATTCTAGGCTATGCCAGTTTTTCTCCTTGAAGTGTGTGGGGTTGTAACCTAACACCATTAACCTTTATGATCAGCTACATCTTTTTCTTTTAAGGCATACACATTTGGTTTTTTTACTTAATTAACGGTATTTTTCACATTGAAGCAGAAATCTGAAGCTGATCAACTACTAAGATGCTCCTAAAAAACAACTAAAAATTGGTTTGTTTGATGTGCATTGCCATGTCATGCCTTTTGTGGATAAGTTGTTGGTGACTGTTATGTACTGTGTCTTTGGTTAAAATTGAATGAAAGTATTGGTTGGGTAAGAATGAACCGATTTCATTTTTTAGGAGGGACTGTTTCGTTTCTCCTTCTCTGTTAACTTTAGAAATATGGACACTAAATTATATAAGTTAAAGATTTTAGATACATTTCTGTGTTAAGAGAGCTGAGCTTGTATGCGGATATCACTATTGCTTTCAGTTCTTGTCCTAGGACATAGTCGACAATCATTGATATCAGTAGGTATTTATGCTTCCATAAATTGCACAAAATAATGCTGAGACAATATAACTGCCAATAGTGCTTACATTATCCTATGTATTTTTCCAAATCTGTTTTATCAAGTCAAGTGGTCTACTTGTGTTATGTTTGAATGTCCTTTTTAATGTCTAAGAATGCACTTATATTTTCTTCAATCTGGGTTTCACTAGAATTATGTCCATGCAATGGAGCTGGAAGAGTCATTGTTGACAATTCTCCTGGCATAATGCTAACAATGGACTAGATCAAAATGGCAATGAATTTCTAGTGCTTCTTCTATTAGTGAAGTTTATAGTTTATAGAAAAAAAAAATATATCAAACGACGCAATGCACCTTGGGTCCCTACGGAAACAGCCTCCTTGTAATTTCTCCTTGTATAATTACAAGGGTAAGATCTGCGTACAGCTGACCCCCCAGACCTCAACCAGTTGGGAAGATACTGGGTATGTTGTTGTTGTTGTTGTTGTTGTTTGGGTTTCACTAGAATTCCACGGAAGCATAGAGCTTGAAAGAAGTAAAAGCTTATGGGAACTACAGCTATTTGTGAATTTCATATATGGTTTTTCAGGAGTTACTTGCTGCAAAACTATTATTTTTTATGGATAATCGAGTACCAAGAAAGTTCTGCCATCCCTAGTTGTCATGACCTGTTATGTATTGTTTGTCATAAAGTTTTTGTGGAGTGGTGATTTTGTCCCTTCTTTTTTGTTAGACGATTATTGCAGTTTAGGATTCTAATTTTGGGATTCTGATTATTCCTTTAAAGTTTTTAGGTCGTGCAGATTGTTTGTCATAATCTCCCTTGATAGAGCAACTTAAAACATCAATACTAAAGGAGCCCAAAATATAGATAAGTGAAAATATGTTAGGTTGCTGATAATCTTTTGTTTGATAATTGTGGCAAATAACCAGTCGAATTGCAGTAGTACCTCCATCCTATAAAGATAGACTTGGTTACTACGTCTACTTGTTCCACAAAAATAGGTCAGTTTATTTTATCCAGGATGGTTAAGATATCACTCTCTTTTTTATGGCTTATATAACTTGCATGGTTAATGACATTATAGAATAATAAAAAAGTAATACTTCCCAAGTTCCAATTTAAATGTACTTCTAGGCTTCTTTTCTTCTCCCAATTTAACGTTACTTCTAGGTTCCCGAGATAACTTTATTTACGTTGAAAAAGTAAATGGGATAAACTAATATCTTCTTAACTCTATAATCTCCATGTCGTTTTATTAAAAAAAAGTTGTGAATTACAAACCCAACATACGTAAGAGGAAGTATACTCCCAACAAAATTACATATAATTAGAAAAAGATCATCTTTTTATCCTTTTCCTGGATTCAGTCACCTTTAACACCTTTTATAAATTGATATGTGCCGTGTTTAGTCACCTTTAACACCTTATTATTGTTGTTCTTATTTTTCATGTTATCCATTTTCTTCGGGAGCTGTATAAGTCTTCTATGAGTTGATCTAAGCATTTTCCATTTTTTAGTTGTGAAATACAAACCCAACATACGTTCTCTCTTACATCTTTATGCATATAAGAATTGATGACTAATTTGTTAAGCTTATTATGCTTGAATGTAGATACCGAGAAAGCTTCTTGAGCAAATGCTGGCGAGGTATTAGGCTTTTTCAGAGTTTGGTGAATTGTGAACAAACCCATCTGGTCATAGGTCTTTAGCACCCGTGCAAGAGAGAACGTGTGCTCGTGTTTTGAGGTTTTCACTGCTTGTGTTTGTTTCATCTTTCATGTGTTGTGTTGTGGTTCGGTTTCCCTGTACTTTCACTCAAATGTTCAAATGGATTTTTTTCTTTCTTTCTTTTTTTTTT